AAAATAGGGATCGTCTCCTTTGGGTGAGAATTTCTCGAAAAGTCAATGGTCAACCCACCAAAAATTGAAAATAAAATAAAAGATGACATATTGATCGCCATTTCTCTGTGCAGCTTAAAATCATGTGAGAGTTCTGGGTATTTTAAAAAGAATTTAGAAGTAGGGGCATTTAGCACTAGTGTCTACGGGAAAGACAGACACTCCGTATTTTCTCGTCATGGAACATTTTTTTTCTCAAAAAGTGGGCGCGCTACACAAACACTGCTCACCGCGCTCCGATGTCTGGCCATTCGAGATGTAAACACAGTTATTGTGAAAACGGGAACTCAAGATAAACACATTGTATTGCAATGAAATTTCCTGTAATAGTTTGCCATGGTATTTGACAACGAAACTCTAGAAAATTGACAAGAACCGCCGAAGAATGAATGTAATATAATTTAAGGAAATTGCAGTATGAAGGACACTCCGTATTTTATCGTCGTGCAACAATTTCTTACAAAAGAGGGCGCGCTACACAAACACTGCAAGCATTTTGGGAGAACAGTACATGTAGACTTTATTGTGATTTGAATCCCAGTACCAAACGTCTTCGTGCTTTTATAATCTCCGTAAATGCTCCACAGTATCAAAAAAAATGACCGTGGATGTGTACATGTTCTTAAACCCCTACTGTTTTGTTTTAGGCAGTTTCAACTGAGTTCAGGTGTTTGAATCTGAAATTAGGCCTAGGGCTATACACATGTCATAGTAACAGACCTTTTGACATCTTTACTATCAAAACGCTACTAGAAACACAATTTGTATTTTGTAGTAGCTGGAGTTAATTTTGTAGGGTATCTTTCGGAAGAAAATCCAGCTTTGAATCGAAATATTAAAATTTCCAAAATATGAAATAGGCAATTTATTACTTTAAGGCTCCGTTCCTATCATATCTGCCTATGGTATAGGCCTAAGCGAGAATGAAAGCACATGTTTTGTACTGATAAGTTATACCTAAACAGCTGGTGAAGTCCAGATTTAATTGTTCTTTCTGATTCATCATCGGCTCTGCAGGATTTATTTTTTAAAGGGAAGTATAATAGTCTGAGAACCATTCGGTTGACAACTCCCCCATAGGGCACTGGCGATCGTGAAGTGTAGGGCCCCTGTTTTGTTTTGATCAAATTAGAGTCAAAATGTTTTTTATTGCTCAAAAATCACCTTTAAAATCAATAGCAGACTTTTCTCAATTCTAATAACACCCGTTTTGCATTTTTGAACAGATTCTTGGGGTAGAAATCACGATTTTCCTGCGCGGTTTGTGCCTTGTGATTTAGCGCGCCGTGCGTGCTCACGGTACATCGCGCGGTGATCGCCATCTTAATTTTCGGGTCGCGTGTTGTCGCCGCACTGTCATCGTCATTTTACCCCCAAATTTCCCTTTAAAAAAAATCAAAACCCTGCCCTCTATCTATGACATACCTGTTTATTGAGAATGTCGCAAACTAGTTTGGTAGGTCCAATAAGTTTAAGTGGATTTTGTTCCCATATAGGAACCGGGCCCTACACTTCACGATGGCCCTACTACTCAGACATGTCATGTATGTGCAATTCCGCAACGGTCGACTGACGTAAAAATAGCAACGGCGAAAAAATAGAGACAGAAGTCCTAAGTAAAAGTAACTACATGTAATTCCCAATAATAACAATTTACTTGGTCTGTGCCGGGGACCCTTTAGCAGTTAAACGTCCGTAACACTGACATCTCCTGTTTATAACACGGAACATATCTTACCTGTGTGTAAAAGCTGACGATCTTCAACTACCAGCACCACCAGCTTCACGACATAACACGCAGTGTTCAACCACGGAATTAACGGAACTGCAACATACAAGTCGGTCCTCACGTCAAATGCGTTGTAGGGGTCGAAACCCCTGTCTAAAAACGAACAAATTTGAGCAATTTCTTTTTCAGTTGACAACTCTGCCGAATCTCCAAATTGTCCGCAAGTAGTACAAGCCACAGAACTGCGGTTGTGTTCCAAGCATGCAGGCCTGCGCGAATTTTCCAGCAGGCAAGTACGGTGATAAACTTTCTTCGGAATTTGGCGGTCTTTTATTTCCAATCGTCTGCTTTTCGATAAGCATTGTGGGAAATTGAAGCCTTTTGTTTTCTGCGCTCAATGTGTGACGACTTTTTCATGAACCATTCAAACCAAACAAGAAACAGACGTCTGTAGGCCCATTTGGCTCTGCGTTGCTTCATCCCTCAAGTCGAATATAAAAAATAGCTGCGTTGGGCTAAATTATTTAGCCGCTTTGTCCGTGTAAATATAAAAGATCGAAATTTTTAGGGGAGATTCGTCTTTGAGATGTTTGACCAGCTGGATATTTAAGGGCGGTACGTGTCCCGAATAATTGCGGTCGTCTGCAAACAGAGGGGGCGAAAATTTAGCACCTTGCGTCGTCTGCTGATGGGTCACGAATTAGCCTGGTTCTATATAATATTGTTAAAATGAAGGTTTTATATTCCCCTTTGCCAAAGCTAGGGGAATGCACTTTTCATTTTGTCGAGCCGACTTGTACCACAAAAGGTGAATTCAATGCAATAGAAAGATCCCCCGATTCTCATGAGATGACGCCCATGGTATGCCACCTGCACTATAAGTACTTTCAAGGAAATAAAAATCGTTAGTTTTTAACCCCAAAGGGAAAAGGTCGGCAGAGTTGAGGCGGGAATGTTGGGCAGCATCTAATGCCTCGAGTTTAAAAGAACCTCAATTAACTAATATACAGTGGCACGGTGGGGTGCCTTAGTGAGGGAAAGGGGTGGAGTCTGAGCTACTTCAAGTAGTGGGGCAGATAGGGGAGAATTGTGCCTTTGATGATACAAGCAAGGCATTTGGCACACAGTAAGAGTTTGCCTTAAGCAAGATAACTGGCTATAGGGCCATTGCAATTTTGTCCTTTGAAAAAAAAATCATAGGTAGAATAACAAGCACTTTTCAAAATTTTCAAAATGGCTGCCATTGCTTGTGATTCTACCTATAATTTTTCAAAGGACAAATCTGCGATGGCCTTATAGCCAAATATCTTTCTCAAGACATACTCTGTGTGGCAAATGCTATGTTTGTATCATCAAATGCACAATTCCATCACCTATCTGCCGTACTAAAGCTACTTGAATCTAATGTATAAATTCATTGGCAAAACCTCTTGCTATCATAATTTTTATTTAAGAACAAAGAATTCTCTTCAAAATTTGTTATGGGGACCTGCACAAAAAGATAGCAAATTTATTTGTATTTGTATTGTGGGTCCCAAATCTTTTGAAGGGAATTCCACATGATAGCAAATATTATTTCAAAAAGTGTATGGGAACCATTTAAATAAATGCATACCAGACATACAAAAAAAACTTAACAAATTCAGTAAGTATTTTTTTTTTTTTTTTTAATTTACAGGTACATATCATTATGCATCATTGTTTTCAACTGTAGATTCTAGTGTTGATTTCAACCATGCAATGCATTTTCCTTTATTAATAAGTCTGCAGATGCACGTCAATACAATATCAAAATGCATAAATATTTGGTTATCAAAGTATCCTTTATGGACGGAATATCTTTTGCACGATTTTTATCAAACAATGCAATTTTATAATACACTTTTTGTATATACATGTACAATTTTAAAAATTGAAATTATCAGTACCAGAAATTATGTCAGGTGGGTTATACTGGCAGAAGAGATATTAATCGAATAGACAAACAAATTGATATAAAACTGCATAATCATTTACAAATATCTAAACACTTCAAAATGTACAATGCTATATTTGTACTTTGAAGACTTAGAAACAGAATCCTTGTCTGCTTTATTAAAAAGATTCAATGTTTTAAAAGTTGTGGACAGTGTAATTTAGTGCATGAATCTGGCCACATGACATTAACCTATCCACCCCAACCCTTCAAAATCCAACTGCATGTTTTGTTGGAATCTGTTGGAGTGAGTACTGCACTAGTAAACCATTAAGCCAGGTCACCTTATTTTTTACTCAACATGTATGTTAGCATTCGCACAGGGTCAGAGTACATCAGTTGGCATCAATGCGTAAGGTCAATCTCCCTTATAGGCCATCAGCCTCGGTCCAAAATTTTGACCACCGGTATCAAATGAGGGGAATAATCGTCATAACGATTTTTGGCAAGGTTTACACCTCCAAAGTTGGAAAATATGTGATAACATTGCAGTGGTGGCAGCTTTTTGGGTGTTATCATCCTTCTTTCAAAATGTCCATCAAAATGCTTGTTACCACTCTAGGGGTGGTATGCCTTGCGCATGCGCACTATAATCATTTATGTCCTGATTTGATACTGGCCAAACCCCAGGCTGATGGCCTATTAATCGTTTGAATTTCCCGACAAGATTCTGTTGCACGGTTGGACAGCATATACCAGTGGTCTTTGTGTAGAACGAGCCAATCGAAATCGTGACGTGTATAGTGCAGGCAGTAGCATTGCCATCACAATAGATAGATATCCAATCGTCAGTCTATCCTTTGTCTGCAAGATGTGGCAAGTTCGCGCAAGAACTATTGTTGACCATTGGTTAACCACAGTTCGACTAAAGTTAGCCCGAACTCTGTCTAGTCGACGGTGGTTGACTACCCTAGTCGACTATTTGGAACCAACCTACTGGGGCTGGTTGCATCGCTGGTAACCAATAGCCGCGCCCATTCATAATGTACAGCAGGGAGCCAGGATCCAGAAGTTTTGCGATGACATTTGACCAGCGTTTGACTAGAGACGTTCGCACGTTGCTATCAGTGTGCAGGCGTAAGGTACGTCACAAATCAACCACTAGTCGACTAATGGTCCTTGCCCGAACTTGGCCATGAATTAACTCTGCTGCACAATTTCCGAATGCTTGGAACCCTGACTACTGCTTGCACTATTAGGACCACGTCAGACTTCCACTGATTGCCACCTGGTTGTGATTTACGATCTAGTCATCTAGAACATACAGCGCCAGTATTTAGACACCTAGCACGAACGCTTGTTTCTGCATGACAGAATTAGCCCTTGAAATCTCTGCGTGTGGGGCCACCGGGTTGTTAAGGGTTGCATTGAAGGTTCCTTTCAGTACTGTGTCCTGTAATAGGGGGCTCAACTGTAGAGAAAGATACAAGAAAAATGAGAAAAAAAAAACTAATTAGAGATGACAAAAACACCATTCAGAAAAACTTATACAAATATACATGGGATTTCCGTTGGAAGAACAAAAAAAAAAACATTAAAAAACATAATCAACACAAAAACAAAGGCTTTTCCGGAAGTCTCTTGACTGAAAATGAGTCCAGAAGTAACCACAATTGTGAGAATGCACCATAGCGGATTTTCCAAGCAAATCCTGTCCGAAACGGTGAAGGAAAGAAGGGTAGACCACGGCAGTGACGCAAAGCGATATTCTAGCCAACATTTCCTTCTACGAGCCATACCAGAAGCACTGAACAAAAGAAGACAGACCTATTTCTTCTCCTCGCACAGCTACTTAACACTCCTTTCTTTTTTTATGGGTTTCAACTTTTGATTTGTTTTATTTTGTTGTGTTGATTTTTTTTTAGCTTGAAATCAAAATCGAATTCTCGAAGCAGTACTTTGGAATTTTTTGAAATTGGTGTGAACCTTAAGATAACTGATGATAATCCATTCTGCCTACGTTTTCCAGTACAGTGAAACGCCGCTATATGTAACACGGTGGGGTCAATAAAAAATGTTTGTTATATTGGTTGTTCGTTATAGTGATTGTGCATTATACTAGAATTTACTATTTCGGGAGCCTAAGGGGCTATATAGCCAAATGTCCGTTTTAGCCAAATGTTCGTTATAGCCAAATGTTCGTTACAGTGGTGTTTGTTATAGCGGCGTTTCACTGTACCTTTTCCTTTTTTTATTGGCCAAAGAGCCAAAATATTATGTATCCGCTTCACACTCACCTCGTAAGCGCCAGGCCCTGGGTATTCATTTCTCTTTTCCTTGAAGCGTTTGTCTCTTGTCACCATCAGTCCATTCTTAGGTTCTTCCTTAGGGGATGGGTTGTAAGTACCAGGACCTGTCATATAAAAAAACAACCAAAGATTACTAAAACATATAGAGAGGGTGTCGAACCTGTTACCAATGGAATTAATGCACAGTTAGATAATGATAGCACAAACATTTTCTGTGCTTATTAGCAAATTTTTGGGATCAGCTGGGTCCCACTTTATTGTTCTGCTTACAAAAATTCCTGCTTATTAGAAAATTGTGTGTTTACGGTTAGAAAATTTACAAATTAGCAAGGAATTTTGGCTTACAAGGATTCTGTGCTTACAGGGCTAGCACATATTTTGTTTGCTAGCACTGTTAGCGCAGAATGGTGATCAGACGCACATAATTCTGTAGTTGTGGCCCAAGACGACAGCGATCAATAGCGATGGTTGCATTTTTGTAGAGTGCCGTTGCACAATTGTTTTTTATTTTCTCGCACCAGTGTCTTGGAAATTTTGCAGAAATGGGAGCGTGGCCATTTTATGTACATTAGACCACTGGTGTAAATATTAATATCTTCGCATTTGATACCGGTCGTCGCACGCTCGCGTGGGGGTATCACTGCATCGCATATCTAATTAGCGACGCTTGATCACCACGTAGTGCGCTATGTTTACAACCATCGTGCGCGCCCGCACGACTGATTATAACCCATTTTGCGATTGCTGATTGGTTCCCTAGGCAAGCCTAGGGAGAAAAGAAAGAAGAAGTTTCTTTTATCATACCTGGATTGAGGGGCTCCGGTTTCTCAAGAAGGATGTCTCTAGGAGGAGCGAAGCGAGTGGATGAGGACAGGAATGAACCCTTCTTACGCCTTCCAGCCTCAGTCCTGGGAGGTGCCGGAGCTTTCTTGCCATGGCTGAGGTCGTAAGATGCGCTGACCTCATAGCTACCTGGTGGTGGATTTTCCTGTTGTTGACCAAAACAAGTTGAAACTACTTAGGCAGGGCATGAAATATCCACTGATACAGCTATCAAATTTAAACGATAAGGGATCGAGTCAGGATAAAACAGAAAATGATTGTAAACTTCAACTCTAACAAACTTTTTTAGAAGGCAATCCAGAAGAAACAACAAACACAGAAGGGATAGGAATCTACCTTGATAGTTGGCGGGGGTGAGTGAAGCCTCTCCGTCTGTGAGGCAAAGTTAGCGGTGACGTTCTGCGAGTATCGGCTGTACTGTGGCCGGCTCTTGGGCTGGTAGTGGGCCGGGCCTGGCTGGGCCGTGTCCTCCCGTTTTGTGATGGGTTTGATGCGTACGGAGGTCGAGCCGAAGGCTCCCCGTCTCGTGCTCTCGATGTAGGCCTTGCGCAAACTGTCGTTGGCAATCCCGTTGAAAGTGTAGGATCCAGGACCTGTATAAGTAAAAAAATTACTGAAGTTAGACAAAGTAACGTCAAGTTCGTATCATCATTATCACTGTTCAATCCATCATTCTTCATTCATCATGTGACAACGTGATGAGCTTCAGTCTGGAACGTGTGGAAAAATAAACGTTTAACGAAAATTCAATGATCAATGAGTACAGATTGTGAATAATGAAGGTGACATGACTTGTCCTACCTGGCGTTTTCTGGATGTGGGGCTGGGGCTGGAACCGTACGGCTGTTTGGCCAAACGGACTTCTCTTCAAACCTCGGATCTTCTTGAGTGCTTCCAGAGCATGCCTTGGATCGTTGTAGGTACCCGGAGCTGGTGCGCTGTGCTTCTGGTCATGAAAGCGCTGCAGAGTACCCAAAAAATAATACCAAAAGTTATGAAATAAGTTCATACAGTAGTTATCAGTGTTATAGTCGAGTCTATCCCAAGTCCATCACAAGTCCTCACAAGTCCTCACAAGTCAACCACAAGTCCATCACAAGTCCTCACAAGTCGACCACAAGTCCATCACAAGTCCTCACAAGTCCATCACAAGTCCTCACAAGTCCACCACAAGTCCATCACAAGTCCTCACAAGTCCATCACAAGTCCTCACAAGTCCATCACAAGTCCTCACAAGTCCATCACAAGTCCTCACAAGTCCATCACAAGTCCTCACAAGTCCATCACAAGTCCATCACAAGTCCTCACAAGTCCTGCAGTCTCAAGTCGAGTGACAAGCTATTCAAATCAACCGTGACAAAATCATTCCTAAATATTTATAACTTGTGATGGACTTGTACTGGACTTGACTGCAATACTGGTGCTTATTTTTATCATCACTCTGCGCCTTACACATACGTTATTAACCACACAAGCATGTGCACACAACATAAAAGTCATTGCTACTCCATTAAAATATTCCCATTTATAAATCTTTCAAGCTTACAAAAAATGACTCTCGAATGATTCTGTATAGAGGACATATAACACAAAAGTCCAATATCTTTACCTTGGATTGCGACATAAATGGCGGATGGTCCACCTCCATTCCCTCAGTATTTACGGCCTGCGGTCTCTTGTCAAACTGACTGTTGATTTCGTACTTGCCTGGTCCTGGAACAGCCTGTCATGAAACAAAATGTGAACAGAGATTGTGATAAAGTGTCTAGCTCAAGAACACAAGCAGCCCGATACTATGGCTGCAGATACACTTGCATAGTCCTGAAACAGCCCATCACAAAACAAATGCGAACAGCAACTGTGATAAAGTGTCTTGCCCGTGGACACAAGAATCCCGACACCATGGCCGTATGCAAACTTGGCTGAATGTAAAATTGCCTTGTCTTGGAACTGCCAGTCATTAAGCTAAAAAAAAAAATGTCAACAGAAGTTGTGATAGTGTCTAGCCCAAGGCAAAAGCTGATCTTTCAACATACTCACTCATAACGGTGTCAAACGCTGAACGTTAATAATAATAATAATAATAATAGTGGATATTTATAAAGCGCACGTATCCACCAGGACTGGTGCTCAAGGCGCTACATCATTAGGTAAAAGGTTTTTAAACGTTTCATGTACTTCATTCAAATGTTCGGAATAAGTTGGTCGGGTGCGACTCTGGAACTAAGGTCTGAAACGAGTGCTAGATCAAAAATTTTAAAAACCTTTTACCTTTTTCTCCTCTTGATGAACAATGACTTCATGATATCTTGGCAGTTTGGACTCAAATACTCTGGACGTTTGTCTTGTCGGCCCCGATGCATTCAAAAGCTCCAGGTCCTTTTCGGCTGGAACGAAAGGGTCGTATTCGCCGGGGCCAGGCCCTCCACGACCGTTGAAGTCCATCCGCCCTGAGGTCAGGTTGCCAAAGTGAACCCCTTTGTATTTGGTCGTTGTCTTCGTGTCATTCTGTGGTGGGGAAGGGGAAGAAGTTGAGAATTCAGTGTGGAATTCAGTTTAATAATAATAATAAGTTGGGAGGCTTATCATCCTTACTCGCAGCTGAGAAGCTGAATTACGAAGGACGCGGCTACAACGTGGTCAAGCTGCAGGCATGTAAAGTCGCCTTTGGTAGCCAGCCATATGACCATAGAGCACGGCCTGAGATCGAAGTGTGTGATTTTTTCGGAAGTAGGAAAACCTAGAGGGCCCCGAGAAAAACCCTAGTGGCACAGGAGAGAACCACGCACAACTTTACTCACATATGTCCTAGCTGGGAATGAACCAGGGCCATAGTGGTGAGAAGCGAGCGCTTTACGCACAAGCCACCCATGCCACCAGAGTGAGCCCAGTGTGGCCTGATCTCAGAGTTAAGTTAATGCACATGACCTTCACATGTCAAAGTCAAGCCACATAGAAATGAAACAAAGGTATTCTCCCTATCAGAGATGTTAGTGACTTTCTTTGGTGTATCCGCGGACTTTTCCCAAGCTGTACTCTCCGCTATGAAAAGCTTTCGATGACATTTGTATGCAGAATATACTAAGAAGATGTAGCTGTTTGGCAAAGCAGGAGATAGAGTTACATCTGCTTGAAAAAAAAATGGATTCTAAATGTAGTACATCAAACAGCAGTCTTTCTTTTCATTGCAAGTGCCAATTTATGCCTATCCATTATGTACAACTAGAGGGAAGATGGAGAAATTTAGACACAAAACCTGTCAGAAAAAAAAAACCTAGCCTGCTAGCAGTCAATTTTAAACTGTCATGGTACACTCACAGTACAAAGTTTGACTGGGCAAATCTTTTCCTTTTGTTTCTACCTAAACTGCTGGAAACTATCCGATGTCCAGCTGTAATTTCATCCTCTGAGGTGTATAGTAGTTCAAAGTGTAAAACAGAGCAAGTGTTATGTGTTCTTACGTGTGATGGGGCGTAGTATGCTGGCCCTCTGGTTTCATCTTTCTGTGGAGGTTCTTGTTTCTTCAGTGTCCCGTCTTCATGTTCCTCATATCCATAGGCTTGGCCTGGCGTGGGAATAGAGGGCGCTTGGGGCTTGCGCGAATATCGAATCCGACTTGTCATCAACTGTAAAAATTAACAGTACGGAGGGCTTGAAATTCAACGGCCTTTCAATGTTTACTAACAATCAGATGTGTTTACGAAAAAAACGTAACTTTTTGTGTTAAACATGAGTGATTTCGAGGACAAACAAGGAAGTAAAATAAAGTCTCAGATAACTGAAGGTTATGTTTTGATTCAGCTTAATTTGTTTAAATCTATCAATCCAATATAAAATTTGTTTTCACAGCTAAATAATTGGAAAAGTCATACAACTAAAACATACACACATATAAGTTTTTGAAAGCAATAAGAAGCACCAGACAGGAATGTCATCAGTTTAAGGCTTCATCGCATTTGGAAAAGAAGAAAAGTTTCCTTACGGATCCAGATTTTTCGGCCTCTCTATCTTGAGTCTGCACCCCCATCTTCTTAATCCAGTCTCCTTTCTTGGACAGGTTATAGGTCCCTGGGCCAGGCGTCTTGGAGACTGGTGCCTCAAACCGTGTGGACCTGTTGGCCAGCGATTGGCCGCCCGTGATGCGCATGTCGTTGATGTGGTCGTAATGGCCGGGGCCTGGTGCGGCGATGACGCTGTCGTGAACAACCAAGAACGTCTCGCGCGTTGTCATGGAGGAAAAGGGTGCGTAGCCATCTACATGTACAAGAGAAAACATTCTGGAGTTATCATCTTTTAAATCCGAAGCGTATGGTCAACGATTAGCATCCACCTGGATGCATCAGACCAACTTCATCAGTCAACTTTGTTTTGAGATGAATATCATCATTTTTTAACAAGTAACATTTCATTTTAATTACTTTCATGCATTATTCATCAACTGGCCGGGGAAAGCCCACAAAAGACTTTTAACTATTTCCAGTGAAATTCTCTTCGTTGAAAAAGATGGGAGGAAAGTCCCAGAATGACATTCCAACCCACAGAATCAAGTAGTTACTGAAAATCCAAACCACAAAATTGCCCAGGCTGGATTCAACCCTGGGTCACAGTGGTTGGAGGTGAGGAAAGTGATCCCCCGATCAGATGACATGTAGTAAGAACTTGTGGTTGCTGAAATTGAGAAAAAAAAGCCGCAGATTTCAGAATATCTCTACATTGCTCTATAGAGTACCGAAGTGAATACATCACGCGCACAATTATGTGTGTAAAAGACATTTAGCCCGTGAACCAACATGCGCGCATACTCCATTCGTTTGCGCTACACTTCCCGGTTCAAATGATGTCACACTTCGGTACTCTATTTAGGTATAGTCCATTACCTGCTTTAATTTTTGAAGGTGCTGGGGCTTCAGGTTCATAGCTGCCAGGCCCGACAGTAGCTGCTGTGCTTTCTTGGGGTTTGGTCAAGGTTCGTGGTGCTCGGTCATACATGGTGAATGGATCGTCAGGACAATTTTAATCAAAGTTACCAATCTGTAAATCAACAAGAAAATTCTTAGGTTTAAATACTTTACTTAATTTTCTGTGGCCGTTTTGAGGGAGTTATCTGATGTTTGGCTTGGACCCCACAATCGCCAGACCATTTCCCAATGTTAAAAAAGGTGATGTGTAGGGTTCAGTTCTCGGACTAGGCCCAAGTTACTTGGGCTAATGTTTGCAGCAAAATAAGAGCCCAGGGCCCTACATGCATGATTCAACTTCAAGAATAAAAAAATGTAAAAAAAAAGACTGTTTGGATGGCACTGTACACTTCGCGCATGCGTAGTATGGCTCTGTACACTTCACGCATGCGTAGTAGGGCTAACGTAAACAAGATGGCGGCCAACACTAATTGACAAATTTGTCGTACATTTTGCGTTAAAAAAACCCAAGTTTTTAAATAATTTTAACTTAAAAAAAAAAAAAGTTTAGGCCTAGGCCTAATTGATATCCGGAAAATGTTCTTTGTTGCTTTTTCTACCATAAATTATAAAGCTACTTTTATTAGTTTTAATGTTCAAAAGCATGTACAAAATGTGTTGATGCTCGTTGACGACCGTTGACGCTTGTTGACGCACTTTAGTAGGACCGTCCGTTGACGCTTGTTGACGCCTGCCCTTGTTGACGCATTAGGCCCTAGAACCGACGAAAACTTACATTAGTTTATACAATCAAAAAAAGTCAAAACCCCGCACATGTTCACTTTAGAAGTTCAGGCCTAGGCTAAATAACTAAATATAATTTAATACTTACACAAAAATCTAAAAAAGCTGATATCATCATCCAGTTGTGTTTCACTTAACGTAAGAAATAAAGACGAACTTTTGGCCAACGTGTAGCAAGCATTGGTCGCGGTAAATGTGATTATGCATGCAACAATCGAATCACATGCACACATAATAATCGCGAGCTAGCTAGCTGCACAATGTTATGGCAGTGTTCTTGACTGTTGTTGCTATGGTGCCTAAGGTGCGTCAAATACTTTATACCGAGTAGTTCATGTCGCTACTCCTGATTACGTTTTCCATTGAAATTGCTCCTTTGGAATCATATTTCTCAAATGTGATATTCATATACTCTAAAAAGCACCACTTCAGAATTTATTGTGCAAATTAATAATTGCAGTGTCTTAAATACATTGGTCCTGAAGTACACGATATACTAAAATAGCGAACCCCACTGTACGGCTGTTTTACGTTGATATTCGTGACTGCTTTTGCATACATACAATGGGTGTCGGACGCTTCGCCCCATTTCCACGTCGCCCAATGTCACTTCGCCCCTAACCACTTCGCCCCATCCCCACTTCGCCCCATACCCACATCGCCCCATCACCACATCGCCCCATCTCCACATCGCCCCATCTCCGCTTCGCCCCATCCCCGCTTCGCCCCATCCCCGCTTCGCCTCTTCCCCACTTCGCCCCATGTAGTATGAAAAAGGTGAAGGCTAGGGGTGCAGACCAAATAAACTGCCAAAGACCCCAGATAATAAATGCTCCCAATTCTAGAAACTTAGGAAAAATACAAACTCTCTAATGAGGTGCTCGAGACACAGATGAGAGAAATGATGGCTCTATCCCGCCCATTCAGAGACGCCTCTCCTATTGGCTTGTGAATAAAAAATGTGCGTAAGAACAACACATTGAGTTATTCGATGATGTGACATTGTGTGGTTTATGTTCTTCAATTGAGACACATGAAAGGGGTCTCAAAAATTGGGTAAATTGGGTCAGCCGCTGGATTCAAAAGAATCCGTAGGTATGGGTCACTGCCTTGAGGAAAATGTTCCGTAACAATTTGTCTGACATGTGACACTTACAACTTCATTTAGATGAGATTGGTTCCTCCAAGAGTGAAATTAGGATGTCAATTAGGTATTGTCGTTCTCAGATAAGTGGGAGACGGGTTGGGAACAAAGTTGGATCTTTTACTTCAAGCTTTTTTCTCGGTAGGGGAGAGCCTAGCTTGAGAGGTTGGTTATGATCGTTCATTTGGTGATGGGCTAATTCTTTCCGTTGGTTAGCAATTAGTGAATCTGTTGGAATTGTTTTTTAAGCCAATAAAATAGATGAGAATTTTTTTTTACATGTAACGGCTGGGGCGAAGTGGGGATGGGGCGAAGTGGGAATGGGGCGAAGTGGGAATGGGGCGAAGTGAGGATGGGGCGATGTGGGAATGGGGCGAAGTGGGGATGGGGCGAAGTGGTTAGGGGCGAAGTGACATGGGGCGACGTGGAAATGGGGCGAAGTGGAAATGGGGCGAAGTGTCCGACATTCCATACAATAGTAACCTATTATTATTGTCAACAGAGGGCGCTCTCTTTGTTTCCCGGTGTGACCATAGGGTTCCACCCAGAGCTATATTAAATTAATAAATAGTAATTTAATAAACAACGCAATATCGTACACAAAGGGCGCCGCCTTGTGACGCTTAGGAGCAAGATGGCATTATTTATTTTCCTGGCAATTAAAGATTGTTCTTTTCAATTTTATTAGTGGCAACCGGGTCATAATTTAAAGTTTTATGGTAGCGTGCACCCAACGTCAACGCGGATCACGATCTGCCCAAACGAAGTCGGCATTAAGTAAACAAAAATAACACACAGTTTGTGGAGATGATAACTCAAGAAAAACACATTGCACTGAATTGAAATTTCGTCCAATAATTGTTCGAGATATGGGACACAACCAGTTTGAAAATCGACGAGAACACTTGAAGAATAAATTTAATATGATTTAAAGAAATACAGTGTACAAATCGCAAAAAATTCAATCTGAATTCAAGTCACTTTTTAATTGAACATGAATAAAGCACTCTTTGTGGAGACGATCAATCAAGAAAACCCGATGGCATTGAATTCAAATTGCGTCCTATAATTGATCGCGATATACGAAAAATTAGTTTAAAAAATCAACAAAAACCGTTGAAGAAAAAAATGAACACAAAAACAAAAACTACAGTGTGCAAGGTACATTTTACCAACATCAATTTCTTCCAATAGAGGGCGCGCTACACAAATAGTGGTCACCACCGTAAAGCAACGCGGATCACGATCTGCCCAATTCAACAAAGTCGGCATAAAGTGAACAAAAATAACACACAGTTTGTGGAGATGATAACTCAAGAAAAACACACTGCACTGAATTGAAATTTCGTCCAATAATTGTTCGAGATATGGGACACAACCAGTTTGAAAATCGACGAGAACTATGGCAGAATAAATTTAATGTGATTTAAAGAAATACAGTGTACAAATCGCGAAAAATTCAATCTGAATTCAAGTCACTTTTAATTGAACATGAATAGAGCACTCTTTGTGGAGACGATCAATCAAGAAAACCCGATTGCATTGAATTCAAATTGCGTCCTATAATTGATCACGATATACAACACAATAGTTTTATAATAAGTGGGACTTCCCTTACCCTCCAGTTATATTTTGGCCAGAAACTCTGCCAAAAGCAGTAACCGCATGCAACACTTGTCAAACTGACAAGCCTATTGTAGCAATCCATCAGATCAAAAGTCGAAAGGCCAAACTGCCCAGAGTCCCTGGTCACTGATGTATTAAAAAAAGATGATGCTGAGCCAGTATTGTACTTTAAAACTGTTACTGTGTTAGAAATGGTCTAAAAGCTGTTATCCATAATTACATGTTCTGCAAATAGCGCCCCTAGCATAAATAAATCTATGACTAGATTGCAAATAGCGCCCCTAGCATAATTTATGTATATAGCCCCCTCCCTCCGCTTTTTGACGGCGTACCGACCTTTAATTTTCAAAGTTGGAGAACTCTGCATTATATTAATTAAGAAATGACATATGCAACATAAAACTTCGAGTAGCGCCGATTTATGTCTTCCGGATATAGGGTAAAACTACCTTCCCTGTTCATCAAGATATCTGGAATAAAAATATTTGGTGACTGGTGAGCATTCCAAAAAATTCCAAAACCCAACCTTTCCTTAACATTTGACAACAAAAAAGTTTCACACACAAAATCAAAACACACCCCCACAAAAAAAGACAAAAGCAAACAGTTGCGTCCCTGTGCTCTTCAACCAAATTCGAAGCCTCCCTATGTTTCGTCCAGCAGCGTACTTACGGGGGGGGGGGGGGGGGGGGGGGGGGTGTCGTGGTAGGGGCGCACGCCCCCAATACCCCCACCCCCCCCCCCCCTCCACTCAGCCCACCCTGGAAATTACATTGGTATAAGTTACTATAAAAACATTATTAGCGCATTTTCTTGTGCATTAGCAAGTTTTATGTGTGCTTAAAAAAAATCCCTGTTTTTCGGGGGTGGCAGTTTATTTTAACGTGCCGTGGAAAAGGAATAGTGCCACCTATTGTTTAACATTGACCATGCATGGTGTCGGTTTTTAACAGCGCCCCCACAGGAAGATCGATGGTGTCAGCGCCCCCTCCCCTTCACTTTCTGTTTTTTTTTTTAAGGAGGCCAGGTGGCGAATTTTCCCCCCAAACGACATCCGCATGGGGTGTACGCTGTGGTGTCCCGGTGAAAAGAAAAAAACCTGTCTACCTTTAAGCACGGATGAAAACTGTAACAGCCAGCCTTTTTTAAATATAAAAAGTTATAAAAGCAAGACATTTTTTTCGGGATGAAACTCGAAAATAGCCTAGGGAACGTAACTTTAACATCCGACTTTTATTTTTTTTTACACAAAAACCCTTGTGTGGTTGCCATTGAACACGCACATGTGCCGTATGTTTTGTTTTATCTTTATAAAATGAGAAAGAAATCGGATACCTTTCAGCCTTTGTTTTTCCTTTTTTGTAAATTGGAAAAAAAAAACAGACGAAATTTGTCTCTTTTTCCCCGTTCTTAAAAAAAAATTCGAGATATTTTCTTCATCTACCCTAAATTGTGCGACAGCTTTAAATAATGAGAAGAAATCATTGTAAGCGGAAGGTCATAGCGCTGAAATGAGTTTTAATATCAGAACAAGTACCTAATAATGTGCATCTTGCTGGCACGTACGGCGTCGCATCATCAAAGCAATTATTATTCTGAAAAAAAATATGATAATTTGCTTTGATTCCGCATGAACCGTCCGCATGCAGTCAGCACACCGGTGATGATTTATCAAAAAAAGACCGGTTTACACAAGATAATAGATACAAAGATTACTTCGTTTATGAATGAATAGTTCTGATGTTTTGGGAGGAAATCCATATTTAATCAGCGGAATTGATGTTATGATTGCTGAGTTCCTTTTTGGTTTTCACTACTCGAGAACCACGCCCATCCATCCCTACACGTCAATCACATTCACGCAAGTGTACACGGTACGCACACGTACAGTGCAGTTACATGCAAAATATACGTACAGAACCTGCATGCAGTGAAGGTACGGTAGAAAAATCATCACTCATTTTCCAAAATGGCGACGATGCCGCATCAGCAGGAAGTTTGCACACGATTTTCAGACGAATATGATCTGAAAGATGAGCTCGGAAAGTGAGTATTTTCAACTGATATGTCAAGCTACTTACCATCCCTACCATCTTTTCATCAAATATGGGTGTTTTTCCAAAGAAATTGGGGTTCAACATCGACAATATTGGTAGCAGTTGTAACTGCAGTTTCATTTTGTCATGTTTGTGTGTGTTTTCTTGTCATTTTTTACAGGGGTGCGTTTAGTGTTGTAAAACGGTGCCTAAGAAAAAAGACCAACCAGGAATTTGCGGCGAAAATTATCAACACAAAGAAATTATCACAAAGAGGTAAATATTAAAATTTGTGTTTGTTTTGTTCAATTTTACTCACATTGGCCTAGCATGGCTGATGTAGTTCTGTTTTTATTTTCTCATGTCACTGCATGTACAATTTATCTAATCGTGCTGATGTGATGACTGTGATTTGACTGCCATTACTGCCTGAATGCCACGAGTGTGACTGCATTTGACATGTCTGATAATGTTGTTTTTTTTCATATCACTAATTATCAGGGTTATCCTAATGATATGTGGGAGGTGTTTTGTAATCAAATTGCAATTGTGTAAGTTAACTGCCAATATTTTGGGTAAAATGACATATCTGCTCAACATGCTAAAATAAAAGATATTTACAAGCTGATGACAAGGCGAAGTAAAAAAAATAAGTACATTAGTTTCTCGTCTGGTCTTTTTGAAAAAATGAAGGAGGCTGGCACTTTTTTTTCTTTTTCCCTAAGATGGCAGATTTTCCAAGATGGTGAATGGATTCTTAAATTTTCTTGACTATTTTGCTGAACACAAAAATTGTGTCCAAGGAGCTATACCCTTACTACGTAACCCTCTCTACAATTTTGTTGGTGACAAATAAACAGACAAAACATTGACAATGCGTGCAAAAATATATTGCAAACGAATGAATTAAAATGAAAGAAAAAAAAGCGGCCGAAAAAAAAAAGAAGCAGGCGGGAAGACAAACTGGTTTATGTTTTTACTTGGCCTAAGACTTCGTAGTGCATGGTTTTAATTCAGTTTAATTTCAGGCAGTATTCCATAATCCCTTCATACAATAGCCCTTTTGTAGAATGTCGTACAGGAAATAACTGTCGGTGTTATTGTTTTCTTAGAATATCAATTTCCTTGTTCATTCTAGACATGCTATAAATGTGAATAGACATCATTTAGTTTCAGCTTTCGTAGTGTAGCAGGGGTGTGAAATCTCAGCTTTAAAGCTGATTTCAGCTATTTTTGTTTGGGATTTCAGCTTTTTTTCCTCACTTGCTGTGTACAGAAGTATAGGAGATTTCCAAAGTTCAGCTTTTTTACACCTTTTTTCAGCTGTTTTCAGCTATTTTTATCAGTGGTCACTCACACCCCTGGTGTAGGGAAATTATTGTACTGTCCTATCCCAAATGTTAATGGTCAGGAAAAGAACAATCTGGGAAAATAACCAACTCACTTTTATCGCAACTATCTAAACAAATGGCACAATGTTTTTACTTACAAACTTATTGAAGCGTAATGTATCGAAAGTGAGACGGGCAATGGTTTGCTTGTGTGTTCATACTGTGTAATTCTGCCATTTCTGCCCACAACTTTAATCCGATCCTTCCCAAATCCTCCAAAATCCTTTGCAGAATGGAGGATTTTGGAGGATTGAGGCTATTGGCAAAAATGTGTGGCTGATTTTGGAGGATGCACTGTGTCAAGGTCTTAGTCCGGACCTTGTGTTGATTATGCTCAGCCGTGCACAAATTTAGGCCTATATTATACTTGAAATACTCCACACTGCACTGCATTTTGCAGGATTGAGGCAGTGGTCACCCCTCCAATGACCACATTCAATAAATAACGGATGATTTTGGAGGATTGAGGCTGTATGCAATTGTTACATGGAGGCAGTTGGAGGATTTTGCAGGATTGAAGTTGCAAAAATGCCTAGCGAGTCGGTGTTAATATGTAATTTTTTTTCACATGGTTGGCTACATTTGAAGACTTAAATAATTTTTGTTTTGTGCTACAGTCTCAGATTGTTCAAATGATTCTTTATAATACTGTTTGCTGGCCATAGACTGTACTCTTTCAAAAGTGCAAAAGGCATACATGCTGAACATTTGAGATCTGAAATCCCATCTTCCAAACCTCAAAATCAACATACTTTACAAAAGCTACATCCTGATTAAAACCATATTTTGATTTTTTTAATAACTAAATGCATAGTACGTGTAGGCCTACCTGTATTTCTAATGAATACATAATCATCGCATAAATAATCATAATCATCGCATAAATCTCAAAGACTACAGTTACATTTCAAAAACACGAAATCTACATTGGTGGTGTCACCAACTTCTTACAGGAGGTTCTTTGTGGACCCTTAAAAAATATGCAGGTACTAGTTTTGCAAAGTGATAGAGATAACATTTGTTTATAATAGAAGTTGAAGTTAGTGATGACAAATTTTGTGTTTGTTTAATACAAACACAATATATGTCCCAGTTTCTAGTTGCAGTTTTTCTTTGTTTGAGCAGGGGGCAGGGGCAAATTCCATAGATCTGTTAAAGGTAGAACTCGTACATGTACATGTAGCCTATATCATTTCCAGCTATTCAAAAGGGGACTGATGATATTATTGTTGAAAAGTATACTTGGTTTATAAATTATAGTAATGGCACTAAACTCCCTTGTGAAATTATTCTTTCTGGCATGCTGTCATTATGAAGAAAACAATAAAAGAAGGTCATTTCCAAAAATGTGTCAAAAGACGCATTTTTGGAAATTTCGTTTTAAATTTGGCAAAGCCATGAATGGGTTCGCACGTCGTTGACACGATGCATTATAATTTATCAGTTCAGTGCGTGACATCGCGTAGTTGCAATTGGCTCATTGAGAACGTGTCCCTGGACGCTGATTTCGGGCGCAATTCAAAACATGACTCGCCAATTGAAATCGAGATTCTAGAATATTGTTTTCTCGGAATATACAGCATTCACAGAGCTAAAACTTCATCGGGTTAGTTGTTAGGCACCCGTCGTTAGATTTTGAACACTTTTATTGCTTCAAACAAAAAAATGCACAAATAACAAATGTGCTCTACTTTTAATAAAAGTATGAAAACTTGCTATAAGCACAGAAGATGTAAATTTGGCTAAAACTGATAACCAGCCAAAGTTTCATGCAATAAATGTTGCTAGTGAGTGGTCCCCAGCTAAGTTTTGCTTAGCACAAATTTGCGAAGCAGTATTTTGCGCTAACCAGAGCCATGAAATTGGACCATGGGCTGAAATAACCCTCCCCACACGAGAAAAGTAGGCAAATTAATTACATGTACGGGGTTTATTCTTCTGTGGTGCCAGTTATCACTATGGTAATCAGCTTCGTGTACCTCTTTTTCAAACTCTTCTAGTTGTTCCTTAACGTCACCCCTGGGCCTATTTTGTGCAGTAATACAGCACACTCTCTTCACTTCCAACAAAATTGGAACATTACGCTAAGTGTAACAGTGACAGAGATCGACGGTCCTAGTATAGGCTCATGAAAATCAAGCAAAAATAGATTGCATAAATTATGAAGATGAGCCTAAATAAAGAAGATAGTGCTGCGTGCACCTTGCAATAAATGGCCGAAAGCAAAGGTTGCCTGAACCCTTCTCAATTGCCTTAAACACATGTGTTCGACAGCTACATGCTAATTGTGTGGGTCAGTAGGATAAACAAGTAGGCCCTATTTATTTTGTCTGGCCACACAATAGAATTTAACTGTCGGCTTTTGATGGTCCTTTTATGTTGTTCATGAACTGCAGTATAACTGAATTGATTTTGCAAAAACACGACCAGCAGTATTTCAATTATAATGTTGCATTACTTTGTGTATAGTTCCAGACCGAAAAAGCTTTTGAAATGTCCATTTTTGTTTTTTAGAACTTGACCTTTGGGAATTTTTTGGACAATTTCATGACTTTTCTTCCAAGAATTGGACCGAACTTGGGGAATCTAAATGTACATGTATTATTGTAGAATTTTTCTTCTCAAGAATTCTCAGGAATTCTATACATGTACAATTAACTTGGAAAATAATTGACTGCAAAAGTTACCCTCAAACTCTTAATTGTGTTGAGAGCCGTTTGATCAGAAAAGAGTGGGAGGGGTACATACAATGTACATGTCTTCATCTGTGAAATGTCGGCCTACATGCCTACATGGTCTACTTAAATACATGTATGAACGTCATTTCTGATCTGAGCCATTCTCAGTGCCGCATAACAACGTCCACCCACTCACCAAGCCCACGCTGTTATGTTACGCATTTCCTCGAACAACTTTTGAAAAGAAGATTGTAATCTTACACCCATCCCTTATCATAATCCAATGGCTTGGAAGTATAATAAGAGAAAGCTAGTGAAAAACATAAATCGCACGGTGAATGCAGACAGAAAGGGAATCTTCACAGGCAGAGACTGTAAAAAACTGAATGAACATGTAAATCAGATCTCTGTGCCAAACGTGGGTTTCTTTAGATCTGATTTCTGCATTTTGCTGCCTTTATGTTTGTTTACGGAAACGTTTTTGAATGCCCTTTAAAAAAAAAAAAGACTAGGGCTTTGTGTGTTGGCATCACACAAATGGATTGGAAACATGTACCAGATTAGATTTTTAAAAAACTTGAACATGTACATGCACGTTTTATTCCAACTAAAAACCTCATTTTTTTTAAACCTTATTTAAATGTACATGTACATTATTGATACTGATTGTGGGGTGGGAAACCAGCATTCCCTGTGGAAACGGAAATGTGTCTGACAGCCACAAATTTGAAATTAAAAGTAATTATTCAATAATGAAACATGGGCGCCGATTCTTTTCGGTCGATGTCTCATTTAAAAGTATTTGCAATTAAGAAAAGGAATCTATTTTCGGGAAACTCCAAAAATACATGTAGCACGGGAACGCAACTTTAAGTCAGGATCATTTTGATTACGTACGTGCGCATGCACTTCATCAAGTAGCCCCCCCCCCCTCCTTTCAAGTATCCCGCCCCCCCCATTTCATTTCCAGCAAAGGTGCTCAAAAAGTGCAAACAAGTTTCAGAAGGCAAACAAGTTGTACTCATGTTCAAACAGACATGAATGTGTCCATGATTTAATCCGCATAATCAGAAAAATTCAGTTGAATAATTGTACAGCTGATAATAGTGATATTCATACAATGCATCATGTACATGTGTACATATGTACAGTTATCTCCACTTATTTCACACGCCACTGCTCGGCCATTTGTCGACCCTGGATTTAA